TTTCAAAACTCAGATCTGAATTCTCAGATTTGAGATTGCAAAATCTGAATTGCTTGAAAGATAATTCAGATCTGCAAATTTTCAGATTGGCCGAATTGATCTAAACTTGGAATTCTTAGAGTGCTTGAGAAAGACTCTAAGAATTCAAATCTACTATTCAAGAACTGAATTGGATGAAAGGTTAGAGATAACATACACAATTCAGTTGGTGATCAATTCAGATTTGAATTGATACCTTAGAAGTGTTTGAAGAAATGTATGCATGTGATTAGATTCTTGATAGAGATATGGGGATCATCACTCATGCATAGGATGAACATGCACTTGAAAGAAACTGTTCATGACCTTGGGGTTTCACCAAACCAAGGCTCAATCACAATCTATTTGAATGATTCAATTTGATTGATTGCTGAATTCTGATATTAACATTAACTGCTTACTCTTCTAACCTGAATTGAAAACAATTGAACCAATAATTTAGATGGATTTTAGTTTAGGATTTTTAGATTTTGAATAAAATGTTGATTTGTTGTTGATCAGATAAGAATTGACCAATTTAGTATTAGTAATTGTTTCCTAAATCCTTGTGGGAACGATACTTCACTCATTACTTTATTACTTGAACGATTAGTGCACCTGTTAATGCCACGATGATCCGATCAAGGGGGTTCTTTCAGATAAGTTTTTTAGCTCTAGAATAATATTCAATCTTGGACAAAGATTTTGGGACTCCCCTCATGTGTGTTACTAGAGGATGTGGATGGTAGCATATTGGAGCCTATGTCAACCTTGGAGCTTTCTATCTTGCTGGGGTTCCAATTAACCTAAATTATATATATTTGATTAGAAGGTAGACTCTAATAGTCCATAAGCTACAATTAGAAGGGCGGTAACTCATTACTATTATGACTAAGCTACCTTCTATAATGGCTGAACTCAAAATACACCACAATCTTAATCAATTTCCCTATCATTTCGAATTCCCCTGTAGTCCCAATTTTGTTCATTCATCAATATCATTCTTTAATTTAGCTTAGGAAATAGGTTTTTAACCATTTGAAGAAAGCATCCTATGTCCCAAGTTTGGATTTTCTGGTGTGTGGTCTCTGTGGTCTTTTGCCAGAATCCACAGACCACCTGTGTATCCACTGTCCTATCTCCACTAGAGTGTGGGACCACTTCCTCAGGGCTATTGGATTTTACTGGGTTATGACAAAATCAGTCAAAGACCTGTTCAGTTGGGAAGAAAGAAGGTGGTTGTAATAGGTCAAGAATGCAGAACTTTGGGAGTTCTCCTAACTGAAAGATCATGCCAAAAAGAGATTATATACTCAGTTACTATTGACTCACTTGGAAATTAATTTGGTGGGTTCCTATTCATTAGGCTTTAGATGGGCAAAGTACATATAGAAAGGCAAACAAGGCTGCTGAGGATTAATCAAGTTCAGCAATTTGTAAACACAATGTCCCTCCTTCCATGTAAGCTTTGCACTGATTTTTGTGCTTCCTCTGTGTTGTACTATCTACTAACTAAAGTAGTTATTTGATGACTAGTGCCCAATTCTAATGTATGCATTTTCACCATTAATATCAATCACATATTTTCTCACATTAAAACTCACTACTCATAGTAAAGAAACAATTTGATAAGATACATGAGAGATCATTCTTGAAAATTTGTGTATAAGAAAAGTTGAAAAATGGATAGTCCCAACTTCAAAATGAAAAATCTAGTGGAAGCTCTTTGAGAAAGATTCATTCTTGCAGAAGATTAATTCCCACATTAAAACTCACTAATACAAAAGTTAATTTGTATTCGCTTCATTTTTGAAAATCAATCTCCTAACCATGCTGATTTCATTCTAAATAAAAAATCATCACATTAATTAATCAGTTAATATCAATCACATATTTTCTCACATTAAAACTCACTAATCATAGTAAAGAAACAATTTGGTAAGATGCATGAGAAATCATTCTTGAAAATTTTTGTATAGGAAAAGTTGAAAATTGTTGTTTCCCAACTTCAAAATGAAAAATCTAGTGGAAGCTCTTTGAGAAAGATTCATTCTTGTAGGAAAGTTGAATAAGAAAAACAAGTTACTCACACAAAGGAGAAGAAAATCAAGAAGGGAAATTAAATAAGTTATTGTGGAATTATTAAGAACCTTATAGTAGGATTTAATTTTGGAGAAGCATTATATGTCTTTGTGTTTGTCTTAACTCCTCACACACAATAAACACAGACACACATGCACACAGAAAGAGTTCCAAAACAGTTCGAGAAAGAGAGAGACCTGCATTTTCCAGAACAATTCTAGACCAATTTGTAAATGTATAAATTGCTAGAATAATGGCTCTGGCAGGACCAATCCACCAAAAGAATTTGTCACCAAGAACAGTAGCAATTAAGCCTACTGCATTAGTAGGCTTGCAAGGCTACTGATGGCCATCATCAGGCTACAAATAACTAGAAGCCTCACATTGGAAACAACATCCTATCATCAGAGAGAGCTTGCAAGGCTTGCAAAAAGTTGGTGAGCATGAGCCAACCAGCATTGACAGGGACCCCGCCTACAGTTTTATGTCCTTTTTTCTATAGTAAAATTAAAACCTATTTAAGAAAATCTGTATAAGTTGTATATGACTATGTTCCCATGCAAGCAACAGAAGCAAACAAAAGAAACAGAGAAGTAAAACATGGACCAGCCCTGTCATGCCCAAACTATGAAATCATACAAGTTCTGCTATACAGAAACCACATTCTAGTAATTTGATGGCAAACAAATACTTTAAGTGCAATTCTGTTTGTTCTAAGAGACAAAAAGGCACCGTTGCATTAATAGCTTTTTTACTCAAACTGAAAAATCCAACTGGGAAACAAACGACAGAAAACAAATACTTCAAGGACTCATGCAATAAAGCCTCTAGTGATATGACAAGGACTGGAAAGACAGGATTCTTCATTCACTGATTCACTGATTCATTTAATTTTTTATGGGAGGAGGCACTGTATAAACCTTAAAAAGAATATGTGAGAACCCCTTGTATTAGGATGGGTAGAACCTCTTACAAGGCTACAACCACCAATGGGTACAAAGGAGGAGCATGGCCCCAAGCTCTGCCCTTGGATACGTCCAAGAGTGATGGGAATCTAGACACTGTCGTTACCCATCAAGACAATCTACACAACAGTGTCTAGACCCTGTATATCATCCCTTTACAGCATACTGGATTGAAGTAATGTCTTAATTATATTAGCGATCTCAACTTTTGATTAATGGCCTCAAAAAGGGTTTTGTTCTAGACTCATCACTCATGGTAAAGTCTTTCAGCCTGAAAAAAATCCCCAAAGTGCTCAACTAAATTGTTATAAAAATTTGTTTTCCATATGGTCTTAGTTTAAGATACCTTGTACCAACTGTCACCCATCTATTTAACTACATCACTAAGGAGTGATGAAGTCCAATTTCTCGGACTAGTGAATCAATTGGTTCTGCTATATGTATTAAATTGATCTTTATAATCAAACTCTCTAAGATAATAAACTCCTTTTTTATCAATAATTAGTAGAAATTTTATTCTCAGAAATACATAGGTCAAAAGCACAATATTTATAACCGCTTTGGAAAATACAAATTCTACATGTCTACGGAGCTAGTCCGGAGCTAGTCCAGAGCTGCTCCCCCATTTCCCTGATAAGTCCAAAGCTGATCCATGGTATATCAGTTATTGATCTTCTTATTTAAGTTGATGCCACCACAGACCAACTCCTAGTCATATCATAAGTGGAAAAAGGTGCATATTCTCTTCATTGAATGAATAACTTTAATTTCAATTAGGGCAATTAGTAATTCTTACCTTATTTGCTATCACCAAAAATCTTAAATAATTTTTTGCTAGTAGAAATAAAAGTTCCATTTAATGAAATAGAGATTTGTAATCAGTAATCCATTGTTGTTGCATTATCCACTAATTTCAAAATGTGTGGCTTTCAGTAGCCTAATTAGCGGTTTAGATAAAAAGAAAGGAGAAAGAGGGTTCAAGTAAAGAGAAAAGGTTTACCCGGTCGTAGAAAATATGTGTTCAAACAAAGCCAAGTCTTTCAGACGCTAAGATCAAAACCCTAATTAATTCCAAAATGTAATAAGCTTTGTCACATAGAGATAAAAGAAACTAAAAAATTATCCACAATACAAACGCTCCAAACACTTCTAACTAGGCTGAGCAGATTCTTCCCACAATAGGGGTTTTACCACTGAAGATGCTTTAAATGCTTCAAAGGCTTCAAATGCTTTAGATACTCCAATCATTCAACAAACAGAGTTGAGTTCAACTAGGATATTATGGACAGAAATTAATAATGGAATCAACTTATATGCATGAATGATATAAGAAATGGATTGAAATTACTCTCACCTTAATTCCACGCTGCCGAATGATCCAAATACCAGGTTGAATGAACTTAATCTCAGCAAGATTATTTCCTTTTGTATAGCTGACTCCAACCTTATCAGGTGCTAAACTTTGGAATCCTGAGGAAAAGGGGATAGTATCAGTAGATCTCTCTAGGAAATGCAGAGAGAAGGAATAGAAGAGGGAAGGGGAAAAAATAGAAGAAATGGGGAAGAAAAGATAGAAAAGAGAGGGGGAAGAAAGAAAAGAACAAACCTGGTTTGCTTGTAGCGAGAAAATGAATAGTCATTCGTCGAGAGGATATTTGGCTTGTGCGCACAATGGTGTTTGAGCACCAAGCTAAATCAGTGACTACTTTTTTTAGTCCGCCAAAAATATATAGACAAAATTACAATTTGAGGCATTAAAAAGTGCCTTTAAAATAATCCATTAAATCTGCCTTCTTTAATATCTTATAGAGGCATTTTTTTCTGACCACCTAGGGCCAAGTGCCTCTAAACATACGAGTTCTACTAGTGTGTAAACCAATTTCACAAAGTAGAGATAACTAGGAAGTAGAAAATGAAGGCTTTTCATAGAGTGGATTAGTTAAAGCCGTTTCGCCGGTGCTAAATAAGCTCGTTGAAGAGCACAATCATCGGTTATACCATAAAAATACAAGGATAAATAGTTCCATAATACAATATAACGGCATTATGGAGTTTTAGAAATTATCCAACATTCAAAAATAAGAAAGTCAACCCCAAAAAGTTGAGAACTTGGGATAAGGCTTGTGTAATGGTAATGGTGATACATTGACCATAGAAAAAATAAAATTAATAAATAAGCTGATTTTCAAGATTATAACATTATCATTTCCTAGTTTAGCTGTTTGTCTATTTCCTCTTTTTTCTTAACAATGATCCTGCACGCAAGAATATCCTGTCAACCTCATCAAGGTCTGGCAATCCTTCATCCTTCCCCAATGAATCATCTTTCCTGGAGTTCAAAGAAATTTGACGCAGGTGATCCTCAAAATCCTCTGGTTCTCCATTGCTTTCTATCGGAAATTTATCAAATTCATCCAAGTATAGAGAACGTTCTGCCTCCTCATCCGCCTGTTCGTCCGAATCAGTCTCAAAAATATCTGACAAAGCTTCAGAATCTGACATTTTATCAGATTCCATCGAGGAATCATCCTCAGAGAAGTCATCATTTCCATCCAGTAATTCTCTCAATTTATCTGAACTCTCTGGCTGCCAGTCTGAAGTGGGTTCATGGTTATTTTTGTCAATCACGGTCCCAATGCTTTCATTTACAACATCAGTTCCATTCTCATGATTCATTCTGGCCTTTACTTGAAGTAACTCCAGGTCTTGTTGAAGCCTTGGAATGAACTTTCGAACCGCACGGAGACCATCTCTATATTTGGACTTGTCCAAAGCCTGCAGATTGTAGGACAACAAAAGCATTAGACCAAAATAATCAGTGATGGAACTAAGATCACCAGAAATCCATGCTTACCATCAATAAGACATTTAGTTTTCCACTCCATGGTTCAAATAAACTTAGAGAAGATTTTGGTGGAAGTAGAACTACTCCACCATTCACATTTACCTCTTACAATTATACATATCATCCAATGCATATCTAAGCACTCAAATTTCTAACAAAGGACGTGTCATCATAGAATGGAATGGTAAAATTGATTCATAACCAAATAGTTGGGACAAGACTTTGTCGAGTTTAGTAAAATTTGATGCATAATCTGAAATACTTTTAACTTCAAGTAATTTATATCTAATAATGCATTCAAACTCTTCAAAGAACATGTAATCCATTAATTTAAATTGCAGACTTGCAGCCTAACTAGTAAGGATGAAATTAGTACCTTCTTCCGAGAGAGAGTGATCCTAGGTGACATTATCTCTGTTGGTGGTTGTGAGTAGTTCTTCCCTCTATACATGATTATTGTGTTCTCTTCATGTATGTCAAGCACAATTCCTCCACTTAATCTTGCCAGCTCAGCTGCAATCTCTTTCACCTCCTCTGGTGTAAATGTCTTCACTATCACTTTCAGAGTCTGGTGCTTTTTCCAATGTAAATGCATGTTAAGGATTACACCTTGGAAGATTCCACGCCTTCCAATGGGTACATAATTCTTGCATTTAAGACCCATCTTTAAGAAATAGAAGTGTTCCTCTGGTGTTAATATTTCTGGATCATGGGTTGCTTCCGATGACTCCTGGGGTTCGATCTTTTTTAGAGCTTCCATGAGTCTAGCCTCTTTCTTTTGAGCCTAGTACCATTACCCCAGTCAAAAGATCATATAGATGTTACAAAAAAAGCAATATCATAAGAAATTATTACTCGACTTGTAAGTAAATATTAAACACTGCTGATAAACATTTTAGATGGGAAAGTTATGCCTATAGAAGTATGTCTTCCTTTTTTACCTCTGAAGAACACCTTGCAGATGCACTCATAATTCACCAAGGGAGTTTTGAGAGGTGTTTTTACTTTTTAGTAGTTGTATTCATTTGTTATTGGCAACAGGGGTATAATTATATATTTTTCTACACTTTTCAGCATTACAAATAAATAGAAAAGGACTGCACATGCACCAAAAGTTGGTTCTTCTGTCTCCATTTTTCTTCCTTCTCTCTTTTTATCTCATTCTATTTTCCCTTATTCAATCATTGAACTTCTGTTTTAGTCCCTGCTTTTATCTATGGACTTTTCAAGTACAGACCATGTTGGACTGTAAATTCAAGTGGCGATTAATAATGCTCACAATAAAAGACAATAATATCCATTAAGACCTTAATTACATGACATAATTGAAAAGTATAATATCCCTAAATACTCAATAAGAGTGACTGTTGGCAGGTTTACAAGTGTGTAATAGAGAGTCGGATAATTCTTTTATTACTGTTTCTTTATGCATTGGCAGATGGGAATTCAGGGATATATTTGTAATGTGCTCCATGGTTGCCATTCTCCCTCAATTCTATTTTCTATTCTTCCTTAATCTATCTCTTTTCTGCTAGTTTTCCTCTTTTTTTCTGAATCCATAAACCTATATGATTTATAGATTATTAATTCTAGTGTGTAAGACAAGTAGTTAAAATATGATCCTCACCACAAGAACTAGTTGATGTCCAATTGTATGATTTCTTGAATGGGGCCTGGGCTCCATCTGATATGAGGACTTCCAAGGAATGGGGCTTTTACACCTGTGCGCCAATCATAACCAGACATGGACACAGATACTGACACATACAAACATGCAATTCTCCAAGTTGGCATGTCTTAAACTGACAGAAACAGATATAGGTATGGAAATCCCATTTAATATGCTTGTATCATGCTTTTTCTATCTGGTTTTTAAAGCTAAATGTCATTTCTCAAGACTAATATCTTGAAAAAATAAATTAAATACCTAACATTTACAGATTTTTATAGTATAATTTGTTAATTTACACTTTATATATTTTAAAAGTATTAATGCTACAGAGTACATCTAAAACTGTTTATATAGTATCCAGTGTCATGTCTGATATGGTATGCTAAGCATGAACAGGTATCTTCGGGGTATCATAGCTGTGTATGCCACATCAATCCTGCCATTGATAGGATGTAACTTCTATAACCTACCCAACTGGTACTTTAGATTTCCTCTTTATACAAATTATGAAAAGACTTATGGACTGAAATCTCACCTTTCCTAATTTATACAGAATCTTTTCTTCTACTGTCATCCGTTCATACTCTTTCTTTTTCTTCCATCTGAAGTATTTGAGCCATCTTACAACTGCTCTTTTTCCCTTCAGCTTTTTCCTCTTCACTTTTGCATTACTATTACCATCAACAATTGCCCCAGCTTCGCAATGCTCTTTAGGCCCTACAACTTCTTTATCCATGTTCAGCTTACCTGAATGAATGCAACGATGTCCAACACAGGAAAATCTTCTGTTCTCATAGGATGACCAAAGACCATGGTTTTGATAGAAGACCTTGCATAAAACATCATTCAAACTATTGCAACATGAGATTCTCTTTGTTTCTGTACATTAATTTTGAAAAATAAAACTAAAATAATAAAAAAAGAAAAGAAGAATTCCAAAAACATATAAATAAACTTTTCAAACCCAAATCTTATTATAACTAAAAGAGGATGAGAATTTGAAACTTGGAGCAAAACAGAGATATAAAAGTTTATCAAAATTAAACAAATTTAATAAAGAGGAATGCACATCACATGCACACATGCATCTTCATCAGTTGATCAAGAATATTATCATTAATTTCAACAATTAGTAAGCCACGTCAGATCCATGTGGAATCCACACAATATTCCAAAACAACTGCCCAAGATGCATGCACAGATGGTATTCTCAATGGTTAGGCACAATATTAGCATTCCCCATTAGGCAGATCTAATAGGAACTCATTAGAATAGATGTCTTCAAAAATAGAAGAAATAACACAAACAAATGAACTTAGCTGATTGAAAGAGCAAAGAGAACTAGGAAAAAATTACCTACTTCTGAAGAAAATGCATACAAGAGGAAGATATGAAGCATGAGTTGTTTTCATTGGGAGCATGTGGAGTATGGAATGGGTGTCATTTCACTGAATGATGGCAATTATCTTTTTTTTTTTTTTGAGAGAAAGGTAACTGATGATGACAATTCCAGCAATCGTCTTGCTGTATGCAATCCTTTTGGTGTTTTCTTGTGGTTGGTGAGGCTGTTTTGGTTTGCATTGGTTATAGGCAGTGAAATGCTGATCTAAGGGGGTTTGGATGGGTCTTTTTGTTCTTTCAAAATGGTTTGTTAGGATTAGGCAGGTAGTGAGCACATATCCCCTGTAATTATGCCATGTGTAATCTACAAGTTGGCAAGGAGTCTATCGTTAGAGGCATACAACCAATGCTTCAGCCCACGAATTCGTGTAGCATGGACCAAAATACAAAAATACATAATGGGCATAGGAGGAAATCCACGTAATAAGCAGATCAGTCCAGACTACCTCAAACAGTACAGTTTAAATCAAATAGATATCTTGTTGTTCAAAATTCGCAATAAACTGTAAGAAGGATTTTGGTTGACAGCTTCAAGAAGAAATTACATGTGAAAGTTTATAGTTAGAGAGCGATTCTGTAACAACAATTAAAAAGGAAACACGATGTGTCATGGCATAAAAGATCTTCGTAGCAATAATGTGAATATCTAGAAACCCAGTTCGGAGTTCAGACCACCAGGCACCAAAATAAGAGAGAGAGAGAGACATACCTCCCAATAACTTTTGCTGGGGCTTGAACATAGGTCTCGGCCATCACTTCAGGAGTAGGTTTGGAATCATTGGGCAACTCCATGGTGATAAGCCAATGATTGTAATAGCAACCCTCGAATATAGTCATGTCTGGACGAGAGAGACGACGGTGGCTGAAAAGAGACGATGAGAGGAATAATGATCCACGAAGCCGGAGGGACAATAGAGCCATAGCTAGTTCCTGGATGAGAGATGTAGAGTTTACTGGGGTTTTAGAAACCAAATGATGCCTGCGGCTCAAGAAAGTAATTTGCCATTTGAAGGCTGGAGTATGGATTGATAAGTGACGGTCTAACTGTCGAAAAACCGGTTCACTTGCCATTTGAGCTAGAAAATGGAGGTGATGATTTTTAAAATGTTTTGTTTTAATAGTAACTCCAAAACCCAATTTACATAAGACTTGGATGAGAAAAAAAAAAAGTGCTAGGCTTCCTGAATCCAAAAGTGGGGCCCATATGGAATTTGAAACAGGGGCAATCACAAATACAAATAAGTATTCAATAACCCAAAACAAATTAAAATAAAAAAAAATAAGCATCCGAGGAGAATTCACCCTGATTATATTTTTATTTATTTTATTTTTTTATCCCCTTTCTTCTCTAGTGGATGGAGGGTCGAATCTTCGATTCTGCTATTGATTTTATTCTCCTTTTTTATTTACTTATTTTACTTCTTGAGCAAAATCTTATTGACCGGGGAGCTATCTTTTCCAAATCTAATTTTGTTGGATAACAAATCAAAATAACTATCCCTGGTCCGAGAGTTTGAACCAAACAAACTTTTAATAAAACAATACATTAAATTAATCACCCATAAACAGAGCATGGCGGACTTTACCTTCAGATCGATCTCAAATCACGGCAATTGCAATGATCAACATGAGCGATAGAGCCATTATCATCAACATCACCAAATAAAAAAGAAAAATGAACAACTAAAATAAATCCATTCGAAACCCTTAGGCGGTAATCCTGCTATCGTCCCTAAAACCCGGTTACAGAGGTTGCATTGTCCACTCCGGCACAAGGTAAAACTCACGGAAAAGGGCTCAGCGGAACTTCACCGTCATTCCCAATAACCGGCAGTCAGATAAAAAAGAAAAGAAAGATACCCGAAAATTAATAAGGGGATATACTGGTGAGAACGAAACTTACTGGAGTCGTATGTTGGCCTGAAGTTGACTGCCGCTGGTTCTCTAGATCAAAGGCGATGAACAGTAAAAAATGGCGATTAGAATGGTTCGGTGGAAGAAGAAGAGGAAAGAAGAAGGAAGAGAGAAGGAAGAGAGAAGGAGAGAGAATGGTCAGAGGTTTGGGAGGAGATCGCCGCCGCTCGCCGGTTTCTTTCGAACAGGGGAGATAAGAGAAGAGTTTAGGTTGAATTTAGGGCAAATTACAGAGACCCTATAACCGTGAGACGAAGACCCCTTCCGTTAGTCTTCCGTTGAAGTCTGCGGTTGTAATATTTTTTAATCCTCATATTATCCTTCTAATAACTATTTGGACAATTGGAAAAAAATACTGTCAATCTTCTCCAACATTACATACGCAGCGGCTGTAACCTCCTCTGCCTCAAATTCCTTCACGTTTCTCTTTCTCTCCCTCTCTCTATTTCCCTATCTCTCTTCTTCCTCTTCCCCTTTCTCTCCTCCCCTTTCTTTTTCCCGCTTTCCTCTATTTTCCGTTCCTCTCCACCAAACAAGAGTTGAAAATTAGAGGGGGATGCCGCAATATTGAATGAATGAATAAATGATCAATGATGATACATGAAGAGAGAGAGCCTATAGTGGCCTGCCCTCCTCCCTTTCCCTCTTCCCTAACTAGCGAGTGGAGAAAAAAAATGCAAACAAAATTCTCATTTTAAGAATTCCTTACGACTAGACTTGGCAAAAAGTTGACCCAACTCATGAACTTGACCCAACCCAACCCGAAAAAAACAGGGTTAGGGTCTCATATTTAGCTACCCGAACCCGCTGACCCGATTGTCAAGTCTAATTGGGATTATTTATGCATTGTTAGAAGTTTCCACTCTTTAATTTTTTTTCTATTTATTCTTTACTTTTTATTTTTTACTCTTTAAATTGTTAAATGTTCAAGTTTTTTATTTTTTTATTTGGAATTTTAAGGTTAATTCTTTTAATTTTGACATTTTTCATGTAATTTTTCTTTATTTTTTTAAATTTCAATTCTTTTTTGGGATGACCCGAATTGACCCATGGGTCACCCCTAACCTGAACATTTAGGGTTAGGGTCTAGCATTTGACAACCCAACCTGAAATTCAACCCGACCCAAAATTCAACCTAACCTGAAATCAACCCGAAGTACCTTGACCCAACCCAAATCCGACTCGCCCAACCCAATTGCCAGTTCTACTTACGACGATGGTTGGTAGTTGGTACAACTCCCTTCACAAGAATCAACGAATGAAACATATTCCATAAAATTTGGTTGAAGGAATCTCTCTCTCTCTCTAAATCCATCATAGAGCTCAAAAAGAGTTCCACTTTATTGCCTTCTGTCACAGCCTAGAGTGGTCTAGGGGCAACATTGTCAATTTGCTCCTGAACTGAGGTATGGCTGAGTAGTCCGAGGCCTAGGTTGGCTGAGGGTTGGTAGGGTTGTCTTGTGAGGAGTAAAGAAGAGAGAACGTCAGAGGCCTCGGGTGAGTACCCGAGGTAGAGACTCCGACGATCAAGTTACTTCAGGCTTAGCTCAAGGTGGACGAGGCCTAAGGTGAGAACACTCAAACAAGGCCCCAAGGAAATTGGAGAGTTCTCAAAGTTCTTAGGTCTAGATTCTAAATGTTTACCTTGAAAAGGTTGCCCCCTATTTATACTTGAGGTTTTCTGGAGGTAGGCAGGCACGGTGGCCAGGATGCGGTCCTGCCTTCAGGGGTGTGGCCATTTGGGGTCGCCACATAAGCTTGCGTCATTGGTTCCGGGCAGCACGCCGACCTCTGCCCTGCGCACACCCTCGTTGGGTCCATCCTGTGCGTCATCATCTGCCACATCCGTGCGTGCCATAGGTCCGGGTTGTGTATGCTAGCATCATTTACCCTCCACTCTCAAGGCCATGGTGGAGGTCTTAGCTGCGGACCTTGGCTTCGGCTGAAGAGAGTGTAATTCTTGTTGGGAGGCACTAGTGGCTTTCCTTGACAAGGATCTCGGCTTCGGCTTTGAAGGTGCTAGGATAGCCCACTTCAAGAGCGTGGAGACGTTTGCTCTGGCTTAGGCTCCGTTGGAGGTAGCTCGGCCCGTAAGCATGTGGACGTCATCCTTGGCTTCATGGGGCTCCTGCTGTCTCTGTGGCGGCTACTTTGTTGACTTCGCTTCTTCAGAGAACTGTAGAGGGACGAAAAGCGCAAAGGCGTTAGCTTCGGCTTTAGAGGGCTCGGTACCGTGTTTTGTGTGGGTACGAGGTGTATGTGCCCCCTAGTCGTGTGCTTCACGGACGAGCTAACAAGTCAATGCATTGGCCAGCTGTCAACCCTAGCCGGTCACCATCGTGTAGAGTATGCACGATGGGTGGTCATGTCGTAGCCATGCACGAGATGAGTTTCGATGTCGAGTGTTGTCCGTGCATGAGATGGATGAAGTATTTCTTTGCGTCTTGTACCGAGGGCTGGTCGTTTAGGTCGGATTGGGGAAGACCCAAGCCAAGCTCCTAGTGGAGGAGGAAACTGCGGTGTGGGTTGGCCTCAGCTCCGCTCACTTTGGTAGGAAGGTTCTACTTCGAGAAGGCCAAGCCGCTGAAGAGGACATCGGGCGAGGGCTAGTTTGAGAAATGGACTCTGAGGAGAGGAGGCATCGGGCAAGAGGGCACCTCAGCCCTAAGTTGCTAAAGAGGATGTTAGGTGAGGGGCAGTTCAGGGATAAGCACTGGGCAAGGGCCAATCCAGGAAACGGGCTCCAAGGAGGGGAGGCATCAGGTGAGAGGGCACCTCGACCCTAAGTTGCTAAAGAGAACGCTGAGCGAAGGCCAATTCGGGGACAAGAACGGAGCGAGGGCTAGTTCGGAAATGGGCTCCGAGGAGGGGAGGCATTGAGTAAGAGGGCACCTTGGCCCTAAGTTGTTGAAGAGGACGTCGGGTGAGGGCCAGTTCGGGGATGGGCGCCGAGTGAGGGCCAGTCCGAGAAATGGGCTTCAAGGAGGGGAGGCGCCAACCAAGAGGGCACCTCAGCCAAGAGGATACATGGGCCATACTGTCCGTAAGGATGGCCAAGGTAAGTACTCGCTTTGTCACTTGGAGTTCTTTGTTCCTCTTTTACTGCATCGGTCGAAGCAAAGAGCAGTCGGAGGTTGCAGGCAGTGGATGGAAGGTTGCAAGTGTCCAAGGTGATGAGGCTCCAATCCGAGGAGAGATATTTGGTCGAGGAGGGGCACGAGGCTGGCAAGAGGCAATGAGGAGGTTCCAAGCCAAGGCGGTGTGTCCGCCAGAGGGTCACCCTATCAGGGAGCGACCTGCGCCATCCGAAGGGAACGCCAAGATTTGGAGGGCAACTTGAAGCATAATTTTTGCATATCTTATGCCTTTTTGTGCTTGTATTCTTTATTCCTTTTATGCGTGTAAGGGCCAGTCCCCCCTTCTGAGAGGTCGCAAGTTGCAAAAATCTGTCGCTCATTGAGCCACTCATTTAAGAACTCAAGTGAACCAGGGCGAGGCTGATCTTCGCCACCAAGGACACGAGGCCCCTTTCCTTAGCAAGAAGGAAAGGAAGGTGAACGCCTTATCTCTCCTGGCTTGTTCCTCATCCCTGCCAAGGTAGTTAGGTCGGGGCCAAGCTTCGTCGCCGAGGGTGCAAGGCCTCTTCTAGCTAAACTTTCCTCAGGGATGCAACACATGGGCTCGTGCATAGTCGAGGCCTGATCGCCCGACCAGCACTATAGAGTGCCCTTGTCTTTGCAAGGTGGCATCATTTTCTTTAGCATGTCTGTTTTGCTGTGACTTATGTTAAGCGGAGGGCCAATGCAGGATCTTCAACCTAGATAAGAACTTGCTCAACAGGAGGATCTTCCGAGGCCGAGGCCAATATCAAAGGCCACTATGTTAACTACAGCCGAGGTCCCTTAGGTCCTTTGCTAAAAAGGGTGAACAAGTGTGTGACCTTTTGTGGATCGTATGTCTTGGGCCAACGTCCAGTCCGGGCGTGTAATCTAGATAGAGGTTGTGGGCCACAGCTGGTCATTCAACCGAGGAGGACATGGTGACTAGGTGTATGGCCTCCTAGGGTCGTGTGCCTTGGACCAACGTCCAACCTGAGCGTGTAACCTTGGTGAAGGTTATTGCTATGGCCAGCCACTCAATCAAGATGAGAACATATACATTAAGGACTTGAGTCGAGGTGAGAGAAACTTGCTTTCCTCGTTACAAAAAAAATCCACTAAACTTGTTTGCTGGAGAGCTGAGTGCTTCTTACTTCTTCTAGGCTGTAGTCGAGGCTTCATCCGAGGCCGAGCCCTTGGTGAGGACGTCTATTACTCTTGCCCGCTATGTTTATTGTAGGAGCAAGGTGGTGACGTCGCTTTCAACGCATTCTTTTAGATAGCTATGGCAGATCGCCCGACTCCATGGTGGTATTTTTAGTATTTACTTGGGTTACCCCTCTTGGGGTTCCTCTTCATCTTCCCAAGCCACTTCACATACTCCTCCTTCCCAACCTACATGAGGATATGCGCTCGGGTTGAGTTGAGTGGTGTGTATTTGTCATAGGATGGGGTCGATGACTTCTTGTCAGTATCCTTGCTATTGCTGTCGTTACTGCGGCCGACTCCGTTCTTCTTCTTCTTCTCTATGCCCCTATGGTTGTGGTTGGCCTCTCCATGGCTCTCGCCGTCGAGGCCTCCTCGGAAGCGATGTACTTCTGAACCTTTTTCAAAAATTCCGCTTTGGTTTTGGGTAGTGTCTTTGCAACGGAGCGCTTGAGGGCCAACCCGGGTAGGAGGCTGTGGATTGTCGCGTGCATGGAGACCATGAGATCAAGGTCTCGGATTTTAAGCTCTTCTTTCTTGAAATGGTTGATGTAGGACCACAGAGTCTTGCCATGCTTCTGCTGGATGGCCATGAGCAAGACAACACTCTTCTGGAATTGTTAGTTGTTGACGAAGCGGGTGAGAAAAAGGTTGGCGAACTACTTCTACAAGCTAATGGAGCAAGGCGGGAGCCCAAAGAACCATCAGTGGGCTGCCCCCTTGAAGTTCGCTTGGAAAGCCTGGAACATCAGGGTGTCAAAATATCCATAAAGAAGCATGAGCAGCTGAAAGCTTTCTAGGTGATCATCTGAATCCGTGGTACCATCATACATCTCTAGCACAGGAGCTTTGAAGTGAGGTGGAAGGGGTTCCGTTGTGATGGTGTCGGTGAAGGCATCCGTCCTAATGGATAGGGCTGCTTACAGGTCGGGTTGGGTCGGTTTACTAGTTTTTTTCAACTGACTTGACTTGGTCAGGTTACCTAAGGATTAAACCAAAATCAACCCTTTATTAAGCAGAACTGACCTGGCCAGTTTGGGTCGGTTTTGGTTTAAATATATACATTTCCGAAATATATACTTCAGCTTTATATATATATTTAGAAAATATACATATTATATATAATATTTTAGAATATATTTTCTGGAAATATATTTAAAACTGGAATATACATTTTATAAATATATATATATATTTAAAACAAAAATATATGCATATATATATATATATATTTAAAATTGAAATAAACATATTATATATAATATTTCAATGAGAATATGTTTATAGATAACTTGGTTCGGTTTTGGTTTTCATGCCGAATTATCGGTTTACCCATCTTTCCAACCTGAAACC